AACAAAAATTTTACTGATTATTCATGTTTTAATTAAACATAGCATTACCACATGACAATATAACTCAAAACAAAATAATAATCATTTATTATATTCGTCTATTCAAGCAATAACCAACACTCGACATGCATGACATCGTTTTCATACGCGTATATGGACATATTACGCATTAAACATATAAAACATTATTTGGAATTAATACAAATGATATTAAGTGCATTCCCCTTCTAATAAATAAATTAGAAAATCAAAATCTACGGAAACTGCCATTTATTTATTTTCTTAATGATGATCTTTTATCAATGGACCAAAATGAAGCACCCATTGGAATATTTTTAGATCTTTCGAAAGCTTTTGATGTAATAGACCATAACATCTTGCTATCAAAATTACCTTCTTATGGAATTCGAGGTATCGCCCTAGATTAGATAACATCGATCTCAAAGTGTAGAAATACCGAACTGGCATGAAAGAAATTTATTTACTTATCTTTCCAATTCTTTACCAATTGAATATGGGAACCCGCAAGGCTCAATCTTAGGTCCTATTCTCTTTCTGTTATACATAATCGATATGCCCTCGTCTATTAAAAACGGAAGAACGGTTCTGTTTGCCGACTACACGAATGTTCTTCGCAAAAAACAAACAATAAATAGTAAAATTTCATCAGTTTCAAATTGGTTTTGTAATAACAAATTAAGTTAACGAAGCAAAACCAGTTTCAATGCATTTTTGCATTTCAAATCGCATGCTCCATTGAAAAGGTACAGTATGCAAATAGCTGATGTTCCGGTAACAAAATTTCTTGATCTCTCAATTCAGTGAAACCTCCAATGGAATGTACATATAACAGCATTAAACATTAAATTAAGTTCATTATGTTACACATTCAGAATTCTTTTAAATTCTGTCAGCCTTCAGGCAGCTCGTGACGTATATTTTGCAAGTATGCATTTCTCCCTGATATATGGTATAATATTTTGGGAAAGCTCATCATTTAGTGCCCAGACTTTTAGATTGCAAAACAAAATTATTCGAATAATAAAAAAATGTCATCCGCGTGATCTTTGCAAGCCTCTGTTCAGTGAGCTTGGAAACTTACCACTACCTTGCCTATTTATTTACGAATCTGTAATATTTGTCACAACTGATTTACTTAACGCCGGGGACATATTTTCATGCAATACTGATATTTATAATTACAATACATGTTGTAAAATTCACGTTCATCAAGTGTCATTATCATAAATCCACATACAATACATGTGCGTTATTTTACAACGCATTGCCAGATGACATTAAACAATTGAAGTCGGTTTACAAATTCAAGTTGAAAGTACTATTTTTTCTGCTGCATAACTGTTTCAATACTATTAGAGATTATACTAATCATAAAAAAGAAAAATAATATTTATTTTAGCAAAACAGTATTATATATAATAAATTAGTTTATATTTCTTTTGTATAATTTAAAAGAAAATAATATTTAATATACTTATAACATATAATGTACTTCAGATTCCAGGTCAATCACCCCCATCTCGACCAGGTTTTTGTCCAGTTTCCCCGATCTATTGAGCAAATGCTGAGATGGTCCCTTGTCTTGCTTCTGGACGTAAATGTAGCTTCACTATGCGCACGTTTTGTTGAACTCTCCTTTTGCATGTAATTGTAGGAGTAGAGGTAAGGGCAATTTACTATTTTGTTAAAAATGCGAAAAATAATATCTGCAAATCGTTTACCCATACAAATACGTTTTCTATAACTCGGGAACGAAAACGTCTGTTTTTTTTTCAAATATTGCTAATATCGCGCTTTTTAAAATTTTATTTTTTTATTTATGAACTGAAGGTTCTGCGATAGCTGTATCCTTGAACCTATTAGACTCTCCTTCCTCCATTCGTTCGTTTGCAGTTGACCTACTTGTAAATGGTTTCGACGCTTCCTTTTGTGATGTCGTCGTCCGACGAAAATGTAGTGTGCCACGAGGAAAAATTGAAATTACGACGTGAAGCGCTATGTGCTCTTCTGTAATTATTTTTCTAAACATTACATTGCATTTAGTTTTTGTATGATAAACATTATGTTTATTTTAAAACCGAGTCTTGAATGTGAAATGCGTACTGGTGGCGGTGTACGTCTTTCCGGTTCCTGTGTTGTAAGGTGGAGAGCTGTGTTCGAGAGCGTTTGTGGTACCGTGCTTTGCTTTTTCTTTTTTTTCTTTTTATGTAATTGTGACACGATTGTGAACCTGAAAAGCCAGATTGGGCGCAAAGGGAATCCTCCTTGCTCACGATGAAGGAACGCATTAACATTCAGAACATTAGTGACATAAAACAATTATTAAGTCACATTTGAGTTATGAGAGCATAGTACTAAATATTGACAGTCGGGGTGTTATAATTATAAATAAACTCTCCTCATCACTACAAAAATGCATGAGCTGTGAATCGACCAGAAAAGGTATTTAAACGTACCCTGAAAAATCATTTTTCTTTCTATTTACATTCGTGGCCGTTTTTTTCTACTGAAAATGAGAGCATGTTCAAACAGTTTTCCACATACGTGATTAAATTTCAATATTTCCCGGATTCACGCTCTTAGATTTATGTGCAGTGATATCTTCACGGGAGCCGTAAACACTACGAAGGGGCGTGTCTTAACAGCTGATGGATACTTCTCTGAATTACACGTGATGTTTAGCGAACTGTCACTTCGATCGCTCATTTCGTATAAATCGTATCATCCGTATAAAAATCGCTCTATAGAGTCTTCGCACTCGCGTCTCACACGCGCTCTGCGACATCTACCCATCGGCCAAAATTGGGAAGAAATAAGGATAGTGGTAAGGTTTAGGACGCTTGACAGGAGTTGGACTCGCCTCTGTGAAACAGGCAAACTCGTTTTGTCGTAAAAATTTTCACAGGAGGTTCTGCAGGGTTTCGGCGACGGTTCAACACGCTATCCGAAGTGCGCCAGGAAGGTCTCTCCGCAATGGCACGAGTAGCTGGTGAGAGTGCTTGCAACAAAAATTTTGTTGGTAGTACGAATTGCAGCATGTAACGAACGCTTGTAGAAAACGTAAATTGTGTGTTCACCACTCTCAAAACAGATGCTAGAAGTGTTCTCCCCTCATTTGATCTGGTTGCAACGAACATAAAAGACATTTTTAACAGGAGGCCTTAATTCCGCTTGGTGCAGAGAGACTTCCTCCGGCCAACCCTTCAACTACAATCCTACTTGTTGTTGACTTGTGGAAAGTCGGAAATTTTAAGTTAAATCTGGCGCAAGCTAAATATTATCCGAACTCTCATTAAAACTGATAAATCTTTTGGCCGGTTTACCAAAGTTCACTTGGCCGGACAGACATGAAGAAAACCAGACTGTCCGGTCGAGAACTGGACATCTGTCAACCATATATATCAACCATAGGGCGCAATCACTAGAGGTTTTTAGCGGTCTCTGAACGCTTATTTGATAGCTCAGAAGATGGTTAATCTACAAGATTCATCCAGGAAATAAGAATGTTTGTATGCATTTTTTTCTTCAAAAACATGTACTTCTCGTACAAAAGTGAAGCTTATCTTACTTCTCCATACCACCACATTTATTGAGACGTTTATCGTATCTGTGCACGAACTTCAGAATCCCCATATTTTACTCCTCGGTCGCTAGTGTATTGAGCTAGGTATACACAGCAGTCTACATCTCATAACTTGCTTCCACTCAGGAACTCTTTCAGCTTTGAAAAGGTGAAAATCGCTAGGAACGAGGTCCGGACTATAAGTTGGATGACGAAAAACTTCCCATCCAAATTTATCTAGCAGTTTTCTGGTTGTTGCAGCTGTGTGAGGACGGGTATTGTCGTGAAGCAGCAGGACACCGCGAGTAAACATTTCACGTCTTCGATATTGAATGGCTAGCTGTAATTGTTTTAATGTTTCACAATAATGATTTCCATTGCTCGTAGAGCCTTTAGTATGAACAAGAGAACACTTTTAAGATTCCAAAAAACCGTTGCCCTGATTTTTCTCGTTGACAGAGTCTGTTTGATTTTGGTGGCGACGACGGATGAAACCATTCGAGTGACTCGAGTTCGAATCCCACAGAAGGGGAAAAATGCTGTTTTGAAATACTTTTTCAGGTTCATGTATTAAAATATTACGCAGCCGCCACAAATAATACGAGAATTATGTGCTGTTCTAGAACCCCTTTATATCTGGTACAAAAATGTCCTATTTCTTCAGCAAAATTTAAGAAAGTAAAGTTAGAAGAAAGAAAAGAAAAAAAGTTTTAACTTGAATGGCCCGTACAATAAACAAAAATTAAGAGAAATGCGAAAAATATGAAGGTCAAGTTTTGGAAATTTTTTAGCAACATGGAGTGCACAATACTGTATTCTTATGAATTGTCAATTGCATAATTATTATGAAAGCAAAAATGTAGTCAGAAGATTTGAAAATATTGCGTACCGCTTTCAGTCTTTCGTAGGCGAAAATTCCGTGGTCCAAAGTAGCTTCCGATCAACTGACCATTGACTATTTTTTCTATATTAAAATAATAAAGTAAAATTGAACAATTAAAAGTTTATTTAAATCACAAAAATATTTAAATTTGATTTCAGATACATTACTTCCATTTGCTCTCGCTCCATTTATTTCAAAATTTCTGGTTTAACCTCCTTCAGGCTTGACTTTTTTCCCGTTGTAGGCGCGTCATTCGTATCAGACCACTAAACAATATTTATATATAATTTTAAATAGAAACGATACAATATTAGTAGATGTTCGCAGTGTTAACGTCTTCGTAGTTTTAAATTTGGTTTGGTTTGTACGACAGGCAAAAAATTTATTATATATGAAGACCTATTTACAATTCACGAGACAGTTTAAGAAGCACGACCTGAGTATGACCGGTGTACGCAATCGCTAAATGCGCATGCGTGCAGTGAGTAGCAAGATGCGTCATGATTGGCAGAGAACTCTTGAGATCTTAACTGTGTAGTTCCAAGATAATTGGCGTACACTTTGAATACTCACGACGCGTATCTGAAATTTGCGCGTGACAATTCGTTGTGAATCCATTTCTTAGTCAATCAAATACCATATCAGTTTGGATCAATATTGATTGCAGATTTTTTCTCATCATTATAGTTACCGCAAGACCAGAAATGCATAAAATTACTACTATTAACAAACATTTTCTTTATATTCGATCATCTTACAAATTGTAACAATTCAGTACTTGCATCTGACATGCCATGCAGAAAAATATTCTGTTAACATTTTTTGATACAAAATTCCTATGGCTATCAAAAATATGCTGCAAATGTTTTATTTACGGACAGCTAATCGATTGCGGCAGGTATGTCAATGTACAGTTTGGGGACCACACCAGGAAATATGTATTAAAAAAAGCGCAAACGGACCTTATTGAATACCTTGCGTTTTGAAATGGTACGTCCCTTCTCAACCTTTCCGCAATTTACCCCCTTCACTTCACCCTTCCAAAGCAAGTACTGCTGTTTGATGTGTTATGCGGAGATGTACACCGAAAATTCCCGCATTTCTGATCATGCAATATTGAAAGTAAGGCGTGGTTACAGTAATATTTTAGAATTTGAGTTAACACGTTTAGAAACTATGTCATTTTGAAAGAAACTACTAACTTCCTACATTTGAGAGGAACGGCTACTAGTGCGCGTATGTGTGTTGACCCTTAACCTCAACGAGCAATACTACAATGTGACGGCACCGGTTGGTGCCGTAAGTCATCTCTGCAAAATATGCAGAAACGATGAATTTTAATTTAAAATGTCGCTTGTTATCGTTCTGTTGAACGATAAACGTACTTGCTTCATGTAGAGCAACTAAAGATAATCTGCATTTGCAGACTTGAGGTAGTAGTGTTTTTCTTAAAATAAAATTTATAAATGTTATTGTGATGATTGCTGTTATATTTATATTTTATTGGTAATAAGTGATATACATATGGCTAGAGGAATTGAAGCTAATGTTACTAATGATTTTTATGTTTTAGGTTTTCATATGCAACTTAGCACTCCACTCGCCTCACAATGACTTGGAAGATATGTAATCTGCTGTTAATATTCTTTTTTACTGTTGGAAATGCTGAAAAGGCAATGTTTTTAAAAGATGTGGGTGCTTTGATTGAAAAATATTCAAACCTTACAGCTGATCACTTGAGCAAAACACAGCTGCAAGATTTATTGGATAATTTGCAAAAGTGTTCCGAATATGCTAATGAAACTGTGACTTCAACTCCTAAAGGGTGCACTATTTCAGGTGGCTGTAATGAAACTAATGTATGTTATTTTTATTTTATTCTCTATATTTTGAGTGCTTCTTATATTTGTAATGGCATACTTTTATATTTATTGTAAAATTGCTAAATGCTATAACAAAACGAATTTTTAATAATTTTTAATTGCTAACTTGAGAGAAACATCCTAAACACAGTCTGTTAAATTAAGTATCTTGTGAAATGATGTTTAATACACATTGTATTAATTTTTTTAAGACAAAACATAAATGAAAACAATTTCATGTTAATATTCCTTTGTTCATCAAAGATTTTTTTATTAGCCTTGGAAGTATTGTCTAAATAAGAATTACTATTTACTTTACATTTCTAAAGGATTTCTATAGTATTTCAGTATAGAAATATCTCATTACGTATTAGAGAACTGCAATGAAGTGTATTTTTTGAAACCTGGTTATAACTGAAGGTATATTCCAGTATTTACTTCAAGTCATAAATGAAAATTATATTTATGGTTGTGATATAATATGAATAAAATATGTTCGATGATAGGCCAAAAAAAGAATTGTAAGAGATTGTATAGAGTTTAGGAAAATACATTCAATTAAAATATTGGAGAAAAGTTCTGGGATATATGGTTAAGAAATGATTACTTAAGATTTCTGAGGGAAAACTTCAGCAAAATATATTTTTACATTTTGTTATTAGGAGTGTCTCTCAGCTGGCTATATATTCAACCTGTTGGACATTACTAACGATAAATTTGATAGCAATTCATTGACAGCTGTTTGCCCATTAATATTACGGCATTTAGAAAGCCATGCATGTGGTTCCATCAAGAACGAAGCCAGTACAGAATCTTTAGAGCTTAAAAAACCATCTTCATATGAAGGTTAGTATTCTGTTTGATAGAATATATGCAGACCTATGGTTCCAAATTCTGTAATGTTTACCATCTTTATTTCCAGTTTGGGGATTAGGCTTTTTATTTGTAACCGTGATAAGCCTGTGTTCTCTGTTGGGTGTTACATTTCTGCCATTAATGGACAAAGATTTTTATCAACAACTTTTGATGGTTTTAATTGGTTTGGCTGTCGGATCTCTGTCTGCAAGTTCTGTTTTTCACCTAATTCCTCAGGTACATAGAATATAATTACAACAGTATTTTGACTGAAAATACGTTAATCAGAATTCTTTTGTTTATGTGTATTTGAAAGTGCCTTCTTTTTTTTGCAGGCATTTCAGCTTATTGATGAAGATAATCAGCATGAATACTTGAACATATCAATAATGTTATGGGCTGGAATATGGGTGTTTTTTTTGACGGAAAGGATCATGAAAATTATTAGCAATGCAAAGGATGTAATTATCAAATAGTTTATTTTATTTTAAGTCTTAGTAAGTATTCAGTATATATTAGTGAAACACACATACATTTGGATTTCAGAATCAACACTTGCATTCAGAATTGCCCTGTAAAGACATTTCAGCAGATATTGTCTCAGCTGTTTCAAGTCCCACCGAGCTTATACCAAACCATGATCATGACGATAGTCAAGTTGATCGATGCATGCTCTCAAAATACAACTACCAGGACCAAGTAATGAGAACGTACACTAATCATGAGGTAAATATGCTTTACATAAACAAAATGTTACAATTTTTGTAATGGGATATTTACCCAGAAAAGGTTTTCATTAAATTTTCGTGAATAAAAGAAATGGATTAGATCTTTCTTTTTAGTATGGGATCTATAATGTCTATAATATTTCTTTCACTTTGGTGAATCATTTGCCTTACTTGTTTAAAGAATGAAATGTATTTTGTCTTCTAGATTTCACATGATACTCATTCTCACAGCCATCACATCCATTTTGAACAAGGAAAAGATAGTGTGGTGGCAACAGTGGCGTGGATGATTATTTTTGGCGATGGTCTTCACAACTTTATAGATGGTTTATCTATAGGTGCTGCTTTCAATGAAAGCATTCTTACGGGTATCAGCATTAGTATGGCTGTTATGTGTGAAGAACTGCCTCATGAACTTGGTATGTCATTTCTCTTTCATCCTCTTTATTTAAGCAATAAGGGAAGATGACAGGTTTTTTTTATAAGAATTCATCAACACTTAGCTCTGCAAGTTGTAGCTTTTTCTAGACTACTGTTGTAATTCAAATGAATTGAAAATTGAAATATTGTGATAAATCAGTTCAAAAAGAAAAAAAAAAAATTGCGGAGTTAGTCTTTATCTCTGGCATTTTACCAATACCATATGATAGCAAATGCATCACTATTTTATGGATAGAGATCGCCATTTATTTTTATGGAATTATGTTGCCCAATAATTTAGAATTTTATAAAAACATTTTCATAAATTAAACAACCTTGAGAGACAAACAAATTTTTGATATAAATTGAATATCATTGATTAATGGAAAACACATAAAGTTGAAGAGAAATTAAATCTCACTTTCTTGTACACAATTGTGTGTATTGTGTGTGTTTTGAGTTTCAACAGTTTTCTAGAATAGCGGCAAAGTGTGCTACTGCTGGAGAAGGCATGATTCCCTAGACCTGTGTTAATTATGGTATTTAAAGTTAACAAAAAAATATGTTTGCCAGTTATGGTACTGGGAAAAGCAGATTCAACCCACAACATGCATTATGTTGCAACATACTTTACCATTGTGTATAACTCGGAAACAATGTGTCCTTGACTCTTTAAACCGAGTTTTGATTCTCCTAAAGGGGGATGAGTTATATTTCTTATGCTATAATCTGCAAGATTTGTTTGGACATTCTATTACATTTTTGGAGAGTACCACCCACATCATAGAACGTGTTGTCAGAAACCTTCATTGAGTTCCATCATTAAGTTATTTTCACTTTTAAAACAATGATCCTTTACAAAGTGCAGAATGTTTGAGTGGGTCCACCTAGTTTGTACTAAATACAGAGGAGGAAATGGTGGAGGCCTGGCCCAAAGACAGGATCTTCCTTTGAGGAAGATTGAAATTTTCCTGTAGGGGGTGGGGAAGAGACATACTGTCTTCTTGTTTACGTGTATTTCAATGTCACTTGGAAATGTTTTGTTGTTGTACTTTAAAATGTAATGGTTATATTTTTGGAATTTGCTGATATTTATAAACTGTTGATATTTTTTCATGGGCTTATGCAGCACATTGAAGCTGCATCACACATCTGCATCACACATCTGCATCACACATCTGCAGTGTTTAGCAGGTGCCCCCAATCTCTGAGGACCATCCCTCTAGCCACAAACTTTCTCAACAGACACTCATTATTCCACCCTGAATTGTATTCAATTGTTCCACCTTGAACCATTCAGTTTGAGCATCATGCATGTGTAGTTCAATCTAAACAGGTAACATCTGACATCAGTGTAATGGAAAACTACCTATTTTTCAGACTCCCAATAAATTTGTAACAGTAGCAGTTGTACTTGATTTTCAAAATACAAACTGAAGGGAAGTGGCTTTGTTGTCTGTGAGTTTCACACATTTTCAATTTCATGTGAAAGTAACATTTCACTGAAAACCTGTCATGAAAACCCATACAAATAGCCTTATACATGGACTGGTTTGAAGAAGCGAGATAGTCTGCCTTTCGAATATTATTCACTCTCTACTCTGTTAATGCAAATGGTCATGTATCATTTTCAACACAGTCCTCAGTCTATGATTCTCAGTTGCTAGGAATTGACCAGTTAGTACTGTGAAGAATTTAAATTTTGAGTGTAAAAGTGATTAAAATTTTTTTAACAATGTTGCAAAGACTGCATTATTTTTTTTTAAAGAGAACAGCAACTTTTTTATTTAAATACATATCTTTGAATTGAAGTTCAAGATTGTGTCTGGAGGATTTTTGCTGAACATATAATTTGTTTATAATTTTTTGTTTAAAAAATATCTAATTTTGACATAAAACATTGATTGTAAAATTGAAATTCTGATCTGAAGCATACAGAAGTAGAAAAAAAAACAGAATTTAAATAACACGGTTTCCTAGAAAACTATGGAGTTATGGCATCTGGAAGTTCAAAAGTTGATTAATATTGTTTTCTTAGAAGGATCATTGTTAATTACGTAATGCAATTTTCGAGTATTTTGTATATATTCTCTCCCCATGTAATGCACCTGTAATGCACACTTGAACCCTGCAAATAATTATATAACACTAGTGACAAGAATCCCCACTTCCATTTACAATAAGTAAAAATTAATTATATAATAGAAACAATTTATATTAATTTTATTTGTATTGTAAATTAAAATTTATTGTAATTAAAGTCAGAATTGGTTGGTAATGCTGACTACAACTAGCAATTAAAATGGAAACAATTTTTGAGTGAAGGAAGGATACATAGGCAAGAACATTCCAGCAAGCTGTGCAGTGCCATCCTGGATGCATGTATAAAAGTCTACTGCAGCAATTCAATTAGATTGTAGAATATACTACAGTTCAGTTTTGAATATTTTCTTTGTAATCTAACGGATGTTGTCCAAAATTTAGATAAATTTTTACTTTAATTTGTTAGTATTTTAATGTTTTAATATAAGTGTGCTCCCTAGGAAGATAATGGATCGGGTGACAACAGGTGCGTGAAAGAGCGCAAGGCAAAGATCACAAGGGATGGATGGCTTGTGCCAAGATTTAAGGATGTTGGGTGAAAGAGAGGAAAGTGACTGTAGAGGATAGGAAAAGATGGAATGGCACAATTGAGAAAGCCAAGACCCACAAAGGGTTGTACAGCTAATAGAAGAAGTAGTATAAGATTGAATAAAAGGAATTATTTCTATGGAAATTAAAAGAAATTAAATATCAGCATTATGTAATATGATCTAACACTTTTTACCCCTAAGTAATGCACCATAACACTGACTCAGATCTCCTCCCCTCTGTTGGTGTTACGTAATGTATGGACTACTCCAGAGATGATTTCTAAATATTATTGCATGCGATAATTTCCTTCAGGAGCCATCCCACTGAATAAACCTTGCTATAATCTTCATATTGTCATTTTTATAACAATAGGCAAATAATTATAAATAATTTATATTAATAACAATGCATGATTAAATACTCCCAGCCATCATGTTAAGCTGGCCTCTATCAAAATGGCATCAAAACTGTAGTGTATGTTATTTATTGTAAGATGTGTATCAGCTTGTTAATGCTACCTATAATAATACCAGTAATTATTTACATACAATAATGTTAATACAGTGTAATAACAAAAATAATAGTAATAATAATGATAATGATAGCAATTATGATAGTAATAATCATGACGATAACAACAAAATATACTTATTACTTGTAAGGTAACTCTCACATAAAATAACAAAAATAGTCTCGTAATACCTATCTTAATAGTTTTCTTCATGCATCATTGTAAAAAATTGAAAATTCAAGAGTTTTCGTGGACATAGCTATTCTGTTATTGAAATTTCCATATTCTGCTCTATCCTTCAAACAATGTTAAACTAGGGGTGCTCCAGAATGGCACAGACTTTCTCATTCTAGTTAGTTTTCTAATTTCGTTGGTCTTGGTTCCGGATGTTTTTGGTCTTGCCATATACTATTGCTAGCTGCCATCTATCTCTGCCCAAAAAACATTTTTAAAAATATTTCCTCAATTTTTCTGTTTCCTAATAGTAGAATCAAAATATTACTTCAAAAATATTAAAGAAACCTTATCGAAGAAACAGAAACTCATTCTTTTCTGGAAAGGTAACACGCCAATAGATCATACTTCATCTTTTTGACCACGTTGCCTCTTGGACATTATGGTCATGTTACTTAAAGCTCTACTTCTAGCAAGACTCAAGAAACACCTGGTGGGAGGGACAAATTTAACTCCCAAACAATACGGCTCCCAAAAGGCACATTCAACACTGGATGTGATCCTGGAAGTGGTTAGGATCGTGGAGTCAGCCCAAAAAGGCGAGAAAAAAGGCTCTGGCCTAGTATCTGGAGATGTCAAAAACGCTTTCAACTCTGCTGAATGGAAGTATATCATTGAGGCACTGATAGACCAGAAGGTCCCAGTATACGTCTTGAGAATCTTGATCAGGTTTTGGTCCAGTTGCCCTGATCTGTTGAGCAAATGCTGAGATGGTCCCCTGTTTTGCTTGTAAACATAAATGTAGCTTGACTATGTGCACGTTTTTTTCTGCTCTCCTTTTGCTAGCAATGGTAGGAGTAGAGTCACAGATGTGTTACTGTTTTGTTGGTAATGTCGTGCTTTTTAAATTTTATTTTATATTATTATTATTATTATTATTATTATTATTATTATTATTATTATTTTATTTTTTTTTTTAACTTTTATTCATCCTTCAACTATTTATGGGTAAAATGTTTGGAAGACATTCTGGAGCTCAAGAAAACATGCACAGATGGTACTTCTACCCCATATGACACATTTTTTTATTGTTTGTGGACTAAATAAATAAATAAATAATAAAAAATAAACAAATAAATAAGTCAATAAATAAATAATCGAAGAATACCTTGGCAGGAGGAGTATAGTCTACAAGACACCTTCGCAATTGAAGATGTGACTCGTGGTGTTCTCCAAGGTTCCAGGCTTGGTTCCTGCGCCCATTCTTATGGAATGTCATGTACGACATTGTTACACATTAACATCCCATCAGATGCCTAACTTATAGGGTACACAAACGATACTCTTATCATCTGCCATAGCAATAATATCGACTTGCAGGAGATTAAAGTAAACAAAATCCTTTTTAAGGCGATAAGATGGCTTGACAGGAAACTCCTACATATGGATGTGGAGAAAACCAGCAGTATACACGAAAACAAGCAGTACGGATGGGAGAGCATTCGGCTGGGGGCGTGAACATCAACTGGAGATGATAAATAACTTGCTTGGGAGTCGAGATCGATCACAGACAAGAATGTGGTCAAGGCAGCCAAGACAGACTCCAATATCTCCAGGTTAATGCCAAATGTGGGAAACCCGAGAGAGGCAAATCGTAGAACGATCTCTTGTGCAGTTCAT